TATGCTACAAACATTATCTTGAACCCCTTTTTAGTCCCTTAACATGATCAGCTGATTCAACCTTTCCATGCTCCATATATTAAATGGACTCATCCATCTTGACAAAACCATTTATCATCTTTAATAAAATTTTACATGTATAAAGTTATAGCAAACAGTGCAGACCATGACAGACAGCTAGCTGTTCTGCTCATTTAGATATCAGTTTCTCCCTGCAGGGTAATGATTAATATAGAATTATTCAAAATTGAGATTATCCAAAAATTATTTTGCAAAGAAGTTCATTGCATCTATCAGTGATGCTGGTGAAAAATTTTGTTAAATATTTTATCTGATGCATATGACCTTTAAATAGTTGACACATCAACATCTGGTTTTCTGTGATGAATTAACAACACCTGGATGTGGTAATAACAAAACATTGCTTGGCTCCAGATAAAACATAAAATATTTCTGCACATGCTAACCATATGTTGTTGTGTTTTTTTTTTCTATGAAATATTTAGCAAAACTTTCAGGTATGTTATTTAACATAATATACCAGTAACATTTCTTAAATGAACTTTTAAAAAACTGTCCATTATCAGTTGTTGCTCCACCAAAATGAAAGACCGCCTCCGTGGTCGAGGGGTTAGAGTCGATGCATGACTTCTAATCCAGTTACCTCTCTGGCGTGGGTTCGATCCCCGGGAGATGCTTTGGTAGTTTAGCGCGGAGGAAGGTAGTCTAGTACTGGTGTAACTCTCCAGGAACGATGGTTAGGAAACTACCCGCCTATATGACTGAAATGCTGTTGAAAAAGGCGTAAAATGAAACAAACAAACAAACAAAACCAAAATGAAAATGTAGTCAGGCAACATGCAGTAGGCTATACATGTACTAGTAGAGCACAAAGAGACAAATAAACTGCAAAGATGTCATGTGTCCGATATGTTGTTGATGTGGGGTAAAACCCCACAATAAACAGTAAGTTAAGAGAACCTTACAGCATGTTAAAGATGTTTATAAAACTTAGCTGACCTTTTTTTATAACCTGCTGTGAAATTAGTTATAAATCTTGGCTAAATTTTTAAAATTTTGACACAATCTTGTATAAGCACATTCATTTCTTAAGACTGATTTCCATAAAAAAGAAATGTATCATTACAACACAGATCAACTTAAAGCTGGATTGACGGCATGGGCAAGTGGTTAAGATTGATTTTCATAAAAAAGAAACATAGCATTACAATTTTACAATACAGTTCAACTTAAAGCTGCCGAGTGGTTAACGCGTCAGACTAGTAATCTAAGGATTGCACTAGTTATCTAAGAATTGCTGACCTCATGGGTTCAAACCCTGTCAGGGGCAAGCTGTTGTTTCCTTGAGCAAGAAACTTAACATTCATTGCTTAGTACTGGTTGGTTCTAAGAACGGATTCGAGAGTGTTTCAATAAGCTTATAGCTTTTCAACACAATCAAACTAAAATAAATTTGTATAAACTAACTTAAAGCTGCATGCCTCCAGATGAGCCAAAATATTTCAAGAAAATAAAATTTGAGAAAAATTTACTCAGATTTTAAGAAAAGTAAAAAAATATATAAGATTCAAGTAATTTATAATTTACGTGATATATGCAATTAATGACTGATTTTGCAGTTCTAGTCATCATATATCTACTGTGTTACTAACGTCGTAAGGACTATTTTTTGCATATTTTAACCTTCTTTCAGACTTGTACTTTCTTAGTTCACTTCACAATATTTTTACTTTTAAATATATTTTCAAAATTTTCATGAAAATTAGCATGAATCTGGAGGTATGCTGCTTTAAATTTGATAAATTACCGCAAGACTGTGAAAAATGAATTCTCAGTATCCACTGGTTTATGACAAGAGCTGTTCCCAGGTAACCAAAATCAAGCTTTGTCAGTGTATCAGATTACTTTTTGCGAAGATTTAGATAATTTGTATGACAGAAAATTGTTTTAAAAACATAGTTTGTAAACAAACAAAAAAAAGAAGATGAAAAACCTGTTAAAAGTAACCCAGGAAACTAAATAAAGCTTGGATTATGTGTCAAATTACAACCTTTTAACAACACAATGGAATTTAAGAATGGTAGATTTGTTTCATATAAGCACTGAAAAGAAGTTTGAAAAACAAGTTTTAAAAGAATGCCCAACTAGCACAAAAAAGAGAAAGAAAAGAAAACAAAAGAAAAATATTTTTGAAAAGAATGAAAAAGACAATATTTTGAAGATCTAGTTGAATTATACGTGCCAAACTACAAGTAAACAACCTTGAGTTCTCAATTTGTCCTTTTTAAACTGTTTTATGTAGCACAAAAATTTGAGATAAAATCAAATACAGTCAAGTGTTTGTCACTGTGGAGTACATCTTTAAAATAACAGTCTATCCAGTTTTCAAAAAATGGGAAATTTGAAAACTGGGGAAAAAATCACCCATTTTGAACACTACGAGTATACTTAACAAAATTTAATGGGGATCACTTTTTTTCTGGGATTCTTTTATTATAGATTCATAGCACCAAAAGCTGTTAAACCAATAAATACTCTCAAGTAGCGAATGCTCAATTGCCCACTTGTTCCTGAAATAATAATGCATGGTGGGCATGGTTGAGGACTTCCTCCACCAGTAGAGCTAGGAAGTCACTATATGACCTTCAAAATGTCAGTGCGACCCCACTCCCCATTACCCCCCCACGCAACAAAAAATCCTCACATGGACATAACAACAGCAGCGTAAGGCACAATAATCAATCATGAAAGGCTGTCTTAATCAGACATTCTTTGAAAATTTACCTTCATATAATTATGCTAGTACAAAAACGATGCATACCGAATTTTTGAAAAATATGGCCTACTTTAAATCTAATTTTCGAAAAACTATACCCCCCTTAATAAGACATCCCCTACAGTGTGAGTCTGTAGAAAGAATTTGAGCAGTTTAATCCTAATGTAAATAGAGATACAGGTATTTGAATACTATTTGAGATTGATTATATAAAATTATGCCCCCAAAAAAAACTAAATGAATAAATGGGCCCTTATTACTTTGATAATTCATACCAGTAGTAACCCAATATAAAATACTTAATGTGCACCAATAAATAATGATGTAACACAAGTTCATTGAAGTTTCAATTATATTTATCATTGTGTGAAAAACAAAGATTTCACCTGCCTGAATTCCCTCCCTTTATGTTTTTTACAGTAATTAAAAGATATTAATTACCATTAACTTTGAAAAAAATTCCAGTTATTTTTGTCATCATACTTTTATCTGCCTTTTGGTTAATTAAATGCAGAGATTATTTAATTCCTCTAAAACCCTCATCTGCTTTATGATTTAATCATTTGGAGGCCACAATGATTTATTCTAGCCATGTTAGAGAAATAAAATGAGTAGCATCTAGATTAACTAGTTGGATTTTGCTTTTTAAGCAGAGTATTTTAATAATTTGATCACTGTTAAAAATAACTCCCAGTTGGTAAAACCAGACTAAATGCCAGCACTCATGGACCAAGTTTGATATTAAATTATTAACCAGTTTTTGAAAACAGTCTTTAATGGTTTCCTTTAGCCTTAGCAGCCACTTCCTATGATCACAGATGATTTTAAATGAAAACATTTTGAAAGAGAACTATCCAAAGATGAAGCCTGATTCAGGAGAAACCTATTTAAAGGTTTTCTTAATCTTTAGTTTTTGCACTCTTGAAAGAGGAATAAATGTTGATAAGAAAAGATTGAATTAAACCTGAACACTTCTATCAGAGGGCAGATCAGTGTTGACAACTGGTGCCAAATTTCTAGTTTGGAATTGCTTATGGTTTATACAGAACTTATTCAAGTTTGATTGTGAAGGAATCTTATAGAAACACTCTCAAATCTGTTCCTGGAACTAATCAATACTAAGCAATGAGTATATATATAGTTTCTTGCTTAGGGAAAGACGGGTCGCCCCGTTGTTAACATTCCTTACATTTCTAATGGGCGTGTTTACCATTCGGCAGCTATATTGAATTGGTAATCTTGAACATCAGATTATAGTTACACATAATGACTTCAATTTTACTGTGATGAAGCGAATGACTTGCGAGACCGTTTACCAGACCTAATGAGTACTGGTATGGAAACACAGTTGTTACCTTGGTAGAGTGCTGTAGACCCATACTGTTAAGACCGCTTACTGGAACTAACCAGTACTGATCATTTGAGGAAACATGGGTTTTAAGCTAGTAAGGTTCGAACCTACAACACCTGGATGGAGAGCCACACAACTTTACCACTAGACCATGACTAGGAATATGCTAAACAAAATAATACAGTGGTTCTTGTTGAATTTTTCGAGACAAAAAACATTAACCCTTTCACTGCCATAGGGACGGCTTATGCCGTGCCCGTTATTTTCGGCATATTTGCCATATGGACGGCTATTGCTGTTTCTATAATAATAATAAATTAATAATAAAAATAATAAAATAAATAATAATAAATATAAAAAAATTATACCATCGACAATAATTATTATTATACTCAGATTTGGAAACATACATGTATATAATTATTATAAACTAATAACATATGATAATTATTATATTAATTAATAATATAGTAATTTCTTAGAAAACTCTCTGGCAAATAGGTGATCAATAAAACAATATAAACCCTCTGGCAGCGAAAGGGTTAATTAACATTCTGTCAATACCATAGCACTCCATACATTTAAATCAAGAATCTATCTGCAAAATACACCAGAGTAAGCAAAGGTTATTGTGCCCAAAGTTTTCTTTTTTAAGAGGCTTTAAATTAATCCGTCTTCTATGACATTACAGGGATTTTCTGAAAATAATCTACTAGTAATGAGGCTAGGCAGTGTGTTTTGTTTTTAAACTCTGTTCCACCTACAGTGTTTTTAGGAGATTATATTAATGCCCTCACAATAACATAACAATCAGACAAAATATCAGAAAAGAAAAGCAATAACAACAAGATGTTTATACTGGAAGCAGTTTAATTAGACAAAAAAATCACAACATATAATGATGTATCTAGGTTAACTGTTTAACAATCTGGTTATGCCAGTATAGAAAGCTCAAGTGTTAAAGAAAGAAAGATAACAAAGTACAGAATTATATAGATTTTCCTCTGTGAGTAACCTCCCTTGAATATTATTACAATATTTAAATGATACATTTGTTTGACTTAAAAATCTTCAAAAATAATTTCAAATCTTCAAAAATAATTTCAAAAACACAAACTTTGTGAAGAAAGAAACTTGATTGGAAATACTCTGAAAAGAAATGAAACAATGATTAAGATGGGGCTTTATAAACACTGTTTCATTTTCCTTAAAGAGTATAATAACCAAAACAAAGTATTTATACAATTTGGTATTTTCAATAAAAATAAGATATTAGTTAAGCTTTTGCAAAATATATTAATTGTCTTATTATATAATACATATTTATCTATTTTATTTAATCAATCTATAGAAATACCAATAATATTTTACAGCCGATAAACTTTATATTTTATGGTAAATTTCATATTTTATGTGTACAGCCGATGAACTATGCTTCTGCAAAATATAAACTATTGAATAAAGATAAGAAATAAATACTTCAAGCATCCAAAAATGATTAAATCCATTGCAGTGAGACATTATTATATCTCCTACATTTACTGGAAAGGAATGAGGAATAGCTACTTCATAGGGGTCACAGAATTGCCTAGTAAATCATTGGAAATAAATAGAAACTCTCTAAGCATGGAGATAGACTTGTGCCCAAATTTCCTGTTGCATTTACAGAATTATTCATGTATATTTTTTGTCCTTTTATCTACATAAACCCATGTGCACGGTGTACAAAATTTCTATGACGAGTTCCATATATTCTAATGATTCTTTGATCAGCTTCTTTGACAAAAATGCTCAAGTTAATTAGTGATCAACCACAATAATGAGTTAGGCAAGATATAGAAGAATGTAATGTTTCAGTGAACAGCTTGGAAAAATTTGCAACAATGAAATAGAAGTTAGTAAAAACTTGTTACAAGGCCAGTCATAAACATTTCCTAGATTAACTGATTTAAGTAATAAAATATGCATGTTTTATTTTTTTCTTAATTAAATTTAATTAATGAATACTTGTGCCAATTACAAAGCCTAATTAGATTAAAAGTGTACAGTTTAAATATAAATAATTATATGAAAATCAAAGGTAATACAGTCTATATAAATGATTAAATAATGAAAATATTTGTATTTTTCAAAATAATGCTTTTTTACATATTTTTCAGTAGATCTATTATTAGTCAGAATTTTGACAAAAAAATTTCCAGATATAAGTAAGATGATTTACACAAAACATTTTGGTTGAAGGTAAAAGACATATATTGCTCCAGATAATTTATTCTTCCTGTTAAGACAACATGATTTTAATGACAAAATGATTATTTTCCCATCTTTTCAGACTTTTTTTTGTAGTGTACCACATAAAAAAAAAACAACCAATCAAATATTGTCTTTTATCCTGTCACAAAGAGACTAAAAATTGTCTCCAATTTGAAGAGTTCTTTTCCTAAAAGTCATGTTCAAGGGTTCTTTGTGCTTCTGTAGGACTTCCCATGAATTCGTCAATGATTTGCCGCATGCTCTCGCGCAACTCCTCTGGCGCGTTTGGGTCAGTCTCTACTTTAGAGTCCTCCTCCACCAAGGTTTCCTCCTTGCCGTCTTTAAGTACGGTTGTTGTGTGAATCTCTTTCTTCATTGTGATTCTGTAAAAATATTAGTAACAAAATTAATAACTCCTGAAATGAACATTCCTTCACTGATGTATGGTATAACACAGTACTTATAGTTTGTTTGGTTTTACTGCACACCAAAACAATTTAGGTCATATGGCGCCGAAACAGGAAAAATGATTTTGGCTAACCTCGAGTGTTACAAACTTAAAGCAACACCAGTGGGTCAGATCACCTCACCTGCTGGAGATGCATAGACTACAGTAATTCGAACCATTTATTAGTCTCCTCTTACGATAATGCAGGGATTAAAAGGTGGCAGCAATTCTGATGCCTCCACCATTAGAGGCAACCACTCAGCCACAAGATGGCATGATTTGACAAATAACAAGAGCCATGTCAACATGGCCATCCCCCGCCGAATGTGTTTGCTCATTGGAAGAATGTATAATTATGTAGTAGAGCGGAATAATTCCATTTTAAGAGGTCTTTTGGTAATGAAAACTGATGGCTATAATGATTACAGATTTGAAACCTATGTGAATACTGATGGCTGAAAATAACAAAGGGCAATTACTGAAAAATAATGCAGGGTAGGTTATCATTCTTGTGTGCTGCATCCCTCCTCAGTAAAATCTATCCACCTATGAAGTTTCAAGTTGATACCTCAAATACTTTTTGAGAAAAAAATTGAATTGAAAAATTAAGTATGAAAAAGAACAAAGGGCAATAACTCAAAAATTACAAAAGGTAGAGTTATCATTCTTGTGCAGTGCACACCTCCTGAGTGAGATCTATGCACCTATGAAGTTTCATTTTGATATCTCAAAGGCTTTTTGAGTTATGCTCTGGACAAAAATTAATTTGAAAAAATAACAAAGGGCAATAACTCAAAAATAATGCAGGGTAGAGTTATCATTCTTAAGCACTGCACTCCTCCTCAATGAGATCCATCCACCTTTGAAGTTTCAAGTTGATACCTCAAATACTTTTTGAGATAAGCTCTGGACAAAATAACATAAAAAAAAACAAAGTGCAATAACTCAAAAATTGTATAGGGAAGAGTTATCATTCTTGCACACAACACTCCTCCTCAATAAGATCTATCCACCTATGACATTTCATGTTGATATCTCAAACACTTTTCGAGTTATGCTCCACTCAGGTGAAAAAATTAGGTATGAAAAATAACAAAGGGCAATAACTCAAAAATTATGAAAGGTAGAGTTATCATTCTTGTGCACTGCACACCTCCTGAGTGAGATCTATGCACCTATGAAGTTTCATGTTAATATCTCATAAGCTTTTGGAGTTATGCTCTGGACAAAAATCAATTTTGAAAAATAAAAAGGGCAATAACTCAAAAATCATGCAAGGTAGAGTTATCATTCTTGTGCACTGCACTCCTCCTCAATGAGGTCTATCCACCTATGAAGTTTCAAGTTGATACCTCAAATACTTTTAGAGATATGCTCCGGACAAAAATGTCGGACGGAAGGACGGACGGACGGAAGGATGGAAGGTCGGACGGACGGAGACTATTTCTATATCCTCCGCCGAAATTTTTCGGCGGGGGATAAAAAAACAAATAATAAATAGTACATGGCTATAAAGGTTGATACAAATGGACCGTTACCCTTTGGTAGCTCAAGTTTTATATTTTGAAATCTTTGAAACTTTGACCAAAATTGGATTGTTCCAAATTCAAACTCATCTGAAGGCGTGCTGATTTAATAATTGTATGAAGCATGACAAATAAGATACAGTCAGATAAACATCTAGTCATTATACGCCACTGATGATATACGCCACTGATGATATATTTAAGTACATGAGAATCTAAAAATCAATTAATATTTCATGACAGACAAGTAACTTTGAAGTACCTGTAAGTAATTCTATATACTAGTGACATTAATAAATCATGGCAAACCTCACCCTATCCATTTTCAACTCGACACGAAAGTGTTGATTTTTGCATTATACAGTATAAATGATATGACAGTATAAATATGATATCGTTATAATACATGTCACAAGTAATAAGATATATTTTATACCAACATAAATGTATCATAGAATAGCGTAAGTTATGCTCCACTCAGGTGAAAAATTAGGTATGAAAAATAACAAAGGGCAATAACTCAAAAATTATGAAAGGTAGAGTTATCATTCTTGTGCACTGCACACCTCCTGAGTGAGATCTATGCACCTTTGAAGTTTCATGTTAATATCTCATAAGCTTTTGGAGTTATGCTCTGGACAAAAATCAATTTTGAAAAATAACAAAGGGCAATAACTCAAAAATCATGCAAGGTAGAGTTATCATTCTTGTGCACTGCACTCCTCCTCAATGAGGTCTATCCACCTATGAAGTTTCAAGTTGATACCTCAAATACTTTTAGAGATATGCTCCGGACAAAAATGTCGGACGGAAGGACGGACGGACGGAAGGTCGGACGGACGGAGACTATTTCTATATCCTCCGCCGAAATTTTTCGGCGGGGGATAAAAAAACAAATAATAAATAGTACATGGCTATAAAGGTTGATACAAATGGACCGTTAACCTTTGGTAGCTCAAGTTTTATATTTTGAAATCTTTGAAACTTTGACCAAAATTGGATTGTTCCAAATTCAAACTCATCTGAAGGCGTGCTGATTTAATAATTGTATGAAACATGACAAATAAGATACAGTCAGATAAACATCTAGTCATTATACGCCACTGATGATATATTTAAGTACATGAGAATCTAAAAATCAATTAATATTTCATGACAGACAAGTAACTTTGAAGTACCTGTAAGTAATTCTATATACTAGTGACATTAATAAATCATGGCAAACCTCACCCTATCCATTTTCAACTCGACACGAAAGTGTTGATTTTTGCATTATACAGTATAAATGATATGACAGTATTAATATGATATTATTATTATACATGTCACAAGTAATAGGATATATTTTATACCAACATAAATGTATCATAGAATAGCGAGGGATTATTTTACCTTGTTGTTTGAGTATCCCCGCCCTCCGCTCCACCAGCATCATCATCTTCGTCATCTGTTACAAAAATAGAACAAGAACACATGAACAAAACATTATATGACAATATCTGAAATTTACGATTCTCAACTAAATCACAGCTCCATTCTTTTAAAAGTAGGCCACAAAGATATGACATACAGAATAGTTTTGTAGACCAGAACAGTGCAAAATCCAAAGGCACTCCTTAAATCATAAATGTGTCAAAAATAATTTATCATCATCCAAACATCAAAGCAGATGTGAAAAATGATGTTACTATTTTTGCCTATTTTTCGAATGAACGTTAATTAAAAATTTTCTTTGTGAAAAATTACTGGTCTGCCATAGTTACAGTCTGATAATTTTATCGAGAGTCTGTCTTTAAGTTCAAGCTTGTCGAGCCTTTTGAATGTCTGCACGTCATTTACCAATTAACATTGTCAATTTGTCATCTGTTCTGAGACATGCACTTCATTACTTATACCTTATTTGTCAATCTCACAGTTAGATTGCCATCCTGTCATCATAAAAAAACCTTCATCTCCAAACATGTGGATATATGTATCATTTTATTCAATTTATTTAATTGATTTCCAAAGCTCCCAAGCATCTAAATCTCTTTATATAGCTCTGTAACCTTCATTCTTTATTCCCTTAAGCTTTCCTATACAAACATTAAGTTCTACATACCTGCATGACAAATCAAACTATTTTTAACCATCATTTGATCATGTTTATGTCTATTTTAACAATTTCACTTACATTAACAATATAGTCAATATTTTCAATATCAGTTATCAAGCAAATTAAATATTAAAATAAATATAAATTTTGTTTTAGTACATTTCATCATGATTGCTTCAAACTCCCATCCAAAATTCATCATAAAATGAGATGCATATAAAACAAGCAAGAATATCATGCCAATCTGTTCAAATATCCACTTTTGAAAAAATTCTGAGTTAAAATGGGGTGTAGCTCCAAAAATAAAGCTTTCAGAATTACGCCCCTTGTCTAACAACTGCACCTTGTTAATGTTGGAATAATGGGCTACATGAAAATCTTTGCACGACAACAATGACAACACAGTGACTATATAGTTTGACCTGTAGTTTCAGTTTATAAAGTAACCATCAATTTTGCCATCAAATGTTATATGACATTCCCTTCCCCTCAAAAAAGAAACAACAGAAAAAGGTCAGACAGTCATATCTTGATTTAATTATGACATGCTTTTTTATCCTGAAAGATAACATTATCTGCTGTTAATTACCAGAAAAAATCAATTGAAACATTGAAAAATAACACATTATTATAGTTCTATTATTATAGATCATTGCATTTATAAAATATACAAATATTACCAATTCTTTTCCAACAAAAATGATAAAATTTCAAATGATTTGATGATGATGCAAAAGAATGATACCATTTATTTCAATTGTATTAAGTAATGCACTTATATTTGGTTCAAACGAAAGGCTTTGATGATTTGTTTGAAAGAACGAAGTTAGTATTAACTTCAGATTTGTCAGACCATTCTTTTTTAAAATTGAATTCCATAAGCACACAGGATGCTAATAGTCATAAAAAATCTGCAAAATGATAGAAATTTTGTGGCAGCAGAACTGGTCCAATCTCATTTGCTAGTAAGTATGTGATGTGAATGATGATAAAATAATTCCCGATCTCAAATAAACTAACACTAATGAAACTTTACAATTGAATTACTAACAAAGACCGTAAACCAATTAGTGCCGTGGAATGACTCAATTACCATTAAAAATATCATGAAGCTTAACCAAACACAATAAAGACACCGGCTTCATTACTTTGGCAGTGCACCCCATAGAAACCACAATCCGATTAGAACCCCATTAGTAACAGTGTAGCTTGTTACCATTTTCCCCCCTGAAAAAGGAAGCTGTAAGCCTATACAGAACTCTGTAGTTCTCTCAGACTTGTAGATAAATCTTGTTCTAGTTGTCAATATTTGATACTTGAAGATCTACGCTGGCTCGTACTTCATTAAATATTCTACAGACAAATTCTATAATTGTATATCAAGATCAATGACGTCCATAAACAAAATATGGGTAGTTACAGAAAGAAACATAAATTCCTGTACAAAATCACAGTAAAAAAACTTATGAGACAAAATTTAAGTTTGATGTTTTCTAACAGTTCAGCTTCTTTGCAGTATTTCAAGCATACATTTACATTAAATACCTAAATTATACTTGTGAGTAAAAAATGCAACACTATATCAAAGTCAAAGCAATTTGTCTCCAAAATATTATGACATGTTAAATAATATTGTAAATATAATAACCTTGACATATTAAGACCATCAACATGACGACACAGAAGTGGTCTTAATTGCAGGGTGGTCTTATAAGTGGATATTTTTATCAAGATTAATTTTACAATACTGGTTTCAAACTTACATCTTAGATAAATAAGCAAATTTAACTACATTATTTATTATAACATACTTACTTTAAAACAGACAAAATACCAAACAATATAACAAATCAATACATGATGATCACAGATAAAAGGAAACACAAATTAAATGGGTTGCACAACAAGTCATCTTAATAAAATGAAAACACTGTAAAAAATACACAAAGCTGGAGGCAGCCCTTGCTTTCCACAGTAATAGTCTGTGCTCAAGATTGAAACAAATCTAGCAAGTAAAAGCAAGAAAGGAACAATTCATACAAACAAAATATTTTGTGAAGGAAGCTATAAGCTTATCAACACACTCTCAAATACATTCCTGGAACCAATTATTTCAGGCATGAACAGCCACCTAAGTAAAACCACTAATGTTCCTTAAACTAGCTGGAGTGCTTCCTCACATGAAAGAATGGAAAGGCTCTGTTGGGATTCAAACCCACAAAGGTGAGGGCTAAGTGCTTTGAAGTCACTGACATTAACCACTCAGCCACAAACACCCCTACCACACATGCTTAAACCAACAAACAACAGTGAAAAATAATAATAAGATAATAAACAAAACAACATTAAAACATGCTGGAAACTGATGGCTTAAAACTCTGCATGACTCCAAATCTTAACTGGAAAAAAAGAACTTCTTAAAACAAAAGAACTTTTAAAAACAAAAGTGTCAAAATTGGTATGGAAAAGAAAATTAAAATACTGCAACAACAAATAATCATGCCATGACCTTGACACAGTTTTATCTGACCTTGATATTCTACGACCTCGTCCTCTTCAGAATCCCCGTACTGAGGGTCGATAAATACAGGACCTGTTTTCTGAGCTAAATATATATAAAAACAAAATAATTAAATGATTTTATCTAAAAATATGTAAAAAAAGTAGTTCTTAAAATATGTATTATTACACAGGTAACATGGTACTGGCAGTGTCAACCCTAAAAATTGATGCTCATATTCTTATAATATTTTTCCTTATAGTGGAAAAAATATCCTTCTGAACATCTATATTGAAAAGGTAAAGATAACTACAACAATTATTTCCTGATGAGGACTATAACAAAGCCTTAGATCTGCCAAAAACAAGTCAAAACTTGTGTCTTTGTCACTCATTCTAATTACACTTTAAACTGTAAATAATTAGAAATCAAACTATTTGTTAATATTTTAGATACCGAAGTCATTGATAAAACAACAACAACAATCTATACCCAAAACTACATGTATGTATGTGCTACACATAGAAACACAACACAACTTTTATATTCTATGTTTTTGTTTACAATACACTACATGTATACTCAAATAAAGACATAATGTACAAAGTAAACAAAAAGTGTGAAAATATCATTTACAGATCCTGCTTCATTTGTCAACCGAAAAAGTGAGTTATTGTCTTTCTCTCTCTGTTGCAATGTCTCTCCTAACGTTCACACAGTCGGATAAATGTACTTTTACAATAATCATTTAGATTAAAAATCAGTCAATGACTTATTTCCTCCAACCAGTCACTTATTTATGTACTCTAACAGATCAGAAGTACACATAGAAATACAAACAGAAATGGTCATATTAAAGCTTTAGAAGTCAGTGAATGAAAAATAATTGACAAAATCAGACACAAAACTCTGAAGATTTTATAGTGACAACTGTAGACATTGTGACATTATTATGCTTGAATAACAGAGCCAGAAAACATCTTATTTGGTACATTTAATGAATTTTATAAAAACGAATAATGTTCTGAGTAAAATCTGATTAATGTATTTAATTTAATTCCCCTAGAAACATCATTAAAGTCAGATTTACAGTAGAGAAGACCTGAATATGCAGATGTCTATCTAATATCTTTGGAAAGTAAACTAATATATTACACAATAATGAAAAAAAAGCAGCTACCAGTAATGAGCACAGAACAAGTCAAAATACCTTACACCTTAAATTGGTTGCCAAAATATTTCAATTTTTGAAAATTGACCAATGATAGTGTTAAATTCTATTAAAAAAATAAAATAATGTCAAGAAGTGTATCTTGGTACTCACACCACATAAAACCTAATTTTGTTCTCAAATCTATTAGATAAAAGAACAAAAACACAGACTGTACAACTATCATGCATGCTGTACTTAGCATGGTTCCTATTTTCAAATTGTAAAATATGTTGACAATACATCATATTTATTTTTGTATCAAACCTAAGCACTAGATAATTGAAATAAATTTTTGTTGTTGTCTAAAGGATATCTTTTCTTCAAAGGGTATTGTTCCCACAGCCTTTAAATGATTGTTCAAACAAAATATTGAAATTTTACAAATGTTAAATCAAAGAATCCCTTCTACTGGTTCATGTATTTTTGGTTTTTCTAAACTAAAAGATATATGAACCGCGTCATGACAAAACCAACATAAAGGGTTTGCGACCAGCATGGATCCAGACCAGCCTGCGCATCCGCGCAGTCTGGTCAGGATCCATGCTGTTTGCTATCAGTTTCTCTACTTATAATAGAGTTGGTAAGCGAACAGCATGGATCCTGATCAGACTGCGTGGATGCGTAGGCTGGTCTGGATCCATGCTGGTAGCAAACTCATTATGTTGGTTTTGTCGTGAAGCGGCTCATATAATTGTAATAAACAATTTTGGTACTAAAATCTTTGTGGCCTTGTGAAACAAATTAATAATTTATAGTCTGTGATTTTCACTTAATTGCAATTCAAACCAACAGGAGTGTTTAAATTCTATTAAGAGCAAAAATTGGACTTTTTCCCTGTTCTCTCTTTAATCATAATTACACAGTTCAAACCATTAAGAGCAGCTTGAACCAATGGTATTGTTTGATATAGAACATTACAGGAAGACGCTTTTGGATCTCACATTTTATATATCCCTCATTTATCAACTCATCCCAATTTTTATAACCAAATGTAATTAGGCGAAGTATAATATGTTTTTTTTTCCTCCTCTGCATGTAGAATAAATAATCAAATCACTATAAAGTAAGCTACACCTACTTGTTTAGTTTCACAACATGTAACAGTGAACTGTAATAACTAATCATGTATCTAACACTACTGTGAATGTTCACAGTCATCAGGGTACCTATGAGACGACAATATTAGAAGTATGATTTAGACACTATTAGCATGACTTGTGACTTTAATATCACACCTTTGGCACCATAATATTACAAATATACATTCCAAAAATGACCAAGGTGATTTTTTTTAAAAATGTTTACTGCCACACTTTAACCATCCCTTGCAAAAAACATTTGTTGCTATTTCTTTAACAAGTATGAATTAAATATTTTGGAAAGTGCCCTTTTGTGCATAATTTCAGTCATATCTGAGCACCTGATTAGTAGAACCACCACTTTTTATATAATAGCTGGAGAGTTTCTTTACATGAAAGAATTAATAGTTCAAGGCAGTATTCCAAAATACAGTGGTGTCAGGTAGGTGGTAAAAAATCAGCGACCATTACCATGTGGCCACAGAGGTTTAGTCTCATTTATAGCTTATTGTTTATCGTAACAGGATGATAAAAATTGGACATACTAAGAGAAATACAATAAAATTAATTGGTTATTGTCCAACTTTCAAAAATATAATTATTCAAATTTCTTTTTGAATTGGAATATTTGAATCCCCCCCCCCCACAAAAAACCACCCCATTGTATCTTAGGGTTAGTCTCCCTCTTTCCCTCAGACTGAGCTAATAAAGTAAAATAGAATGCAAACCTTATCTGGAGTAAATTTTGCTGTGTCATGCAATTTCAAAATGATTTCATGATTTTTAAGTCACAACAACACTGGAAAGGTCAACCTGATTTGTAACAAGAAACCAAAATTCAAGTAATGATGGTAAATGCAGATTTTAATTTTCATCAATCACATCACCTTATCACAGCAATCCATTTCCCGTTTTATCAAATTGAAATAAAAATCGATAAAGAAAAAATTGAGAGAGAGAGAGAGAGTATAGAATTCTTCCAACCGATTTAGCTAATTGAAATACTCAACAATATAAAACAGAAAGATAAAAACCTTATCTGGGATATATTGCCGTGTCATGCAATTTTAAAATTATTTCTTCCTTATTTTCAATCTGTGTACACAGAAGATTGCAAGGAAAATCTTTTTACAGAAAATCAACTTAAAATCTTTTTGAAACCCTCCCCCTCCTCCCTCATCTGCAGTTGAGCAAACTGTTCGCAATATTTTTATTCTAGCTCCATTATATTGAAAGTTTTGAGCATATTATTGAGTGTTACTCCTTGGGTTTAATTGGTTCAAATCTCAAATTAGGAAACAACGTTGTGGCCCAAATAGAGCTCAAAGTGTCATTATGCCCATCCAAGGGTATAAATGAGTGAACAGGTGAATATCAAAAATAAGTTTTCATTTTGCCATAATTCCTTTTAATTTATAAAAAATTATTTCACATTAGCAATAAACAACGCATGGATCCAAATGATTTTTTTCGTTAATATCCATTAGAATTTACCTATAATATTCAGTTTATAAAAAGAAAGAGTGGGGCAGTCTTTTTATATTTTAGGCAGATTTAAATTTTATCCTTAACATTTTACAATATGAACTGTTGTACAATCATCATTTTAACAGTCAATCTTTTGAAATATATTGTCAGTTCAGCTCAACTAGACTATGAAAATATGAGCATAATGTCACTTTAAGCTCACATTATCATCCCTAGACTGAGAGATAAGACAATTCAAACATTAGACCAAGATTCCCAAAGAAACTATCAAATATATGTTTGACAGATTGCTTCTCAAAGCCCAGCATCAATATTCTTATATAGTAATATTTCATAAGACATATGTAAATAACAAAGCTGTCATTCTGCAAGAAATATACAGAAGTAATTTCTATCTTAACCTTAAAGGTGCTGCAACTGAGAATGACTACCCTTTGTCATCAGTATAGAGCCAGGCTGGCCTGTGGGCAATTTGACCAGACTCTGTAGACACTGCTGGAAGCTCAATTGTTGTGTTCGATATTGAAATCCCTTAAACTTTGCATGGACTGTTCCAAATTCAAACCACGGTAAATCCATTAAACAAATTCAGTAGATTAAGCTTAATTACTGAAATACATGTTTAATCAGAAAGCACTGCAGTCTTTGAAAAACACATTATTGTCATCAAGAATTATAAAAATAGCCATTAAAATCTAAATTGAACAATCTTATTTGTCCTATATCTCACAATGTCTGCTAGAAAAATGAGGACAAAAAAATCAAGATGCTCTTATATGTAGAAATATGTTTTAATATTCTTAGTAATATTGAAACCAGGTGGTACTAGAAGCTAATCTTGTGATTTTATTATGTCAAAGTACTCAGCCATATGAAATAATTGATAAATGGTCACTAGCCTCCAGATAAGAAATTTCTCTCACAATATAATGTCCCCTACCAAGTCTTATCAATAACTGGTGTAGAGGTTTAGCAAGATAATTACTATCTTATAAGAGGCAGAAGAACAGGAAGAACTGATAGAATTTTCTAATAAGCCTGTCAACATGGCATAACAATTATAACAAGAAATATTTGACAGCTTCTTTGTTTTCTAGCTTAATATCAGATTTTTCCCCCTTGTGTCTTTTACCCCTTGCATTTAATTGTTGCGAGTTAACCAACCAGTTTTCTGAAGAGATGCAAATTACTGAAATTTATTTCTTAAAATGAGCATCTTAATCAGTTCTGATTATCATCAATTATCTACAAGGCCAAATTTCTGATCACAGGAAACATGCATCCTCTTACAATTTGAAACGATTTTAAATTTTCCCATCCTGATACAAATCGTTTACCAGCACCTACATGCTTAATAGACAATTTTCAGAAAGTAAGCAATCAGTTCACAAAGAAGAGATTGTGACTTTTTCTTCTATTTGATGAAACTGAAAAAGTATTACTTAACTCTATTGTAGAATCAACATTTTTATTTCAGAAAATATTTAGTCAGGTGTAAATTTTTTTCTTATTTTTTTATTTTACAGAAAACCTTATTATATAGATAACAATATGAAGGTGCCTAATTCTAAGTTGTGTGCGAAACAAAAATCGGCAATGCTTTTATAAAGTATTACCATAATTATATGACCGTAATTATGGAAGAACTCTATTAGACAACCAGTTGATTATCATGAGAAATCTATTCATCAATGACACTATTCGTAACTATTCCCTACAGATAATAATTCAGTCCACTTTGACCCTGTATTTCTCATTTGACATAGATCCACTGGAAGATAAAATCTATATTATAATAGGAAAATCATACCATTTCTACACTAGACAACAATCAACGATATCGTGAAGTGATAATAACTACAGCAAAAGCATAATTCACAATATTGAGTCGTACCAAAATGGTCGGGTATTCCGTGCCGTAAACTCTCGGCGTGTTCGTGAGGATCGTACTCAGTTGTACCATCGTCATCGTCTATAGACAACATACGTTGTTGCTGACGCTCTGCAGATATATACATCAGGGTACAATACTAATATAGGTTACAAAAAAACATAGTTCATTGATGACAGACTATAACATTGACACTTAAAGTGTTATAATGCAGCTGTTACGCCTACAGCTTTTAGAAACAAAATCAACTAGATAATTGCAGCATCCTTACAGGTCATTCCTGTCTGAAATGCTTGGACTTTCCACGCTGAACAATAAATGGATACATTAAGTGTCCGTAGAAATCCAAAAATTGTTTCGTTAAGTATACATTATGACTTTAATGTACCACTTAGTACATACTTAGGTCTTTGGTTTTATTGTCAAACTATTACCACACTGGTAAATAGCAATATTATGTATTTAAATAACATTGACAAACCTAGAAAATACAATAAAGAGAAACTTATTCCAAGTCTTTAGTGGTTATTTTCTTGTTTTCTCCTTTGCTCTTAGGTCCACTAATGTCAAATTTGTACAAAAACTTGACGCTGAATGAACAAATTATTTAAATTTGTTAGGCGAGAAATCTGGTTAAGTCAATTTGATAATGAAAATCGAGAACAAAATTAGAGAAACCACTCATTATTCTTGACACAGTTCCACATGTTGGAATAGAAACTATATTTCCTACCTATAGAATGAATAATGTTTGTTTTTTTTACAGGAAAGGATGAACATTTAACAAATTCTTGCAACTTGAATGACAAGATGTATCACTTTACTCATTTAAATTTTCCTTGAAAGAAACTTTTATTATAGTTTTAGCGGCTTAAAAAAAGTGTCTGTTCATAAAAAATCAACATAGAACAACTATTATCGATAATGTAATTGAAATATTTACAAGCATGAAAGTGACAAAGAATGTGTGATTTTTACACCATTTGTAAAGCTTTGTAACAAGATATGGTGATTATCTCTTAACCAGCTAGAACCTGAAAGAGATCAGTCTACCAGTATAGAGCCAGGCCAGTCAGCCACATCTGACTCTATACTATTGGCTGACCAAACTTCAAATTCTCCTAAAACTTTCATCTTGGTATCCCTTAAAAATGGAAGGCAGATGAGTCCATTAAGAAATTTAGCAGGAATCAAGGGATATCAAGATTGTCAGTCAAATCAAGTCAATATAAAATAAAACCAATTCAGAACGAAATATATAATTACATGTATTCAGTTATGCAAATAACAGAAACCAAATAATCCGGTATTTTCATAAATAAAGTCCCTGCCTCTATTTAATCAGCTAATAAACATCACTTACTAGATTATTTATATGTAATAACTTTTATGACATGGCCGCTGTGTAATGTAACTTTCTATATATTGCAGAACAGATGCATTCTCCTTATCAATAAATATTGTTTATATATCTCTGCTTAGTCTCCAGGAAATAATTTCACAATGTTCTATGTTTCCCACCTGTTCATTTATATGACCAAACAGACCACCATATAAGGAATTCCAGCGAAGAAAAAATGCAGAGAGCCAAAAATTAAAAAAGAGAAAGAAAATGCCAGAACAAAACCTAAGAAGTTTCAAACAAAGTTTAAAAGCCTACCAAAATCATTAAAGGAACTCCAGTGAGATTCAAAAGTCGAAAATCATAAAATTGAATTTCTTGCATGTATCAACTGGGGCACTTAAAAAGTAAAGATATGCAAATGAAATATATATTTATAATGAAATTGAAAATCATATATTTGTGCAATTCTTAGCCTTAACTGGGCAAAATCCTTTAAACACTTTTTGGGGGGGAAATATTTCATAATTTAAATTGTTATTGTGGAAAAAGTGGATTTGAAGATACTGGTTCACACCTACATAAATCTGAAATAAATATTTCCAGTCCTTCTTTGTCAACAAATCTCAGAGGAGCCCAATATAAACCTACTTATATCTTTCAGAAATGTCCATAAATCTATATTTTAGACAATTTTTGAGGATTGAAATCAAATACAAGACAATTTCAAATCACGCCTATGATGATTAATTTGGTGTAAGTGCCCACTATTGCTAGTAAGTAAACCATTCAGAACACATGAAATATCATATAAACCTATTCAAATCAATGATCAGACGGTCTCAAATGCCATTAAAGGTATTGCTGCCAACTTTTGAAAGAATTACAATCTTCTGAATGGAAATGAAGCGGCATAAAGTAAAATACTACATTAAGTACAATGTATCACATTATTCCAGCTTGATTTTACGAGTCTGAACGCTATTATTACAAGCCATATCCCAGAAATATCATCCAGTAACAATCCCTGTATTCCCTTTTCATCTATTGAAAAAAATTGGGGTAGTGAGAGAGAAAAAGCTCATACAATGTAAATCAATGGCAATCTTTTCATCAAATTAACAGTGAATGATGTAATATATAGAAATGTTGAGAAGAGGATGAAAAGAATTCTGTCATCTTGTCACATCCCTGACACAGTTACATGTACACACCACACCATCTCTCCTGGTTTGATAATGTAATCATGCTGTATATTCATTCCATTACGCCCATTATATTACTCCTATTGCCCATTATATTACTCCTATTGCCCATTATATTATGCCTATTGCTCATTACACTATGCCTATTACACTATGCCTATTGCCCATTATACTATTTCTAATGTCCATTAAATAATGCCTATTTCCATTATATTAGCCTTGCCTATCATATGCCCATTATATGACTCCTTTTGCCCATTACATATGCCTTAATATTGCTCATTATACTATTCCTATTGCCCATCACATTATATTATGCGTTGCCTATCATGTGCCCATTACATTACTCCTATTGGCCACCACATTTGCTTATTGCTGATCACATTATGCCTATTACCCATTATACTATGCCTATTGCCAATAATATGCCAATTTTGACATTTCTTCTATTGGCTGCTCATCACATTATGTCCAATTATTACCATATTTCCCATTAAATCATGCCTATTATATAAATCCTATTGGCCCAACACATTACATCCATTGCCAATTTATGTAACTCCTATTGCCCATCAAATTACAACCATTGACCTATTGCCCCTTGTACACCCATTACTCATCAATTATGCCTTCTGCCCATTATGTAAGCTTTCCCCCCATTACTCCTCTTCTTGTTCATCATATAACATCTTTTGCCCATCAAAATAAATTAAATCTATTGCCATCACATTATGCCCATTGTTTTCCTCAAATATGCCCACTAGAATTGCAGAATTACAATTAAGATATTCAAGAATATGCTCACAGGAAAGCTACATAATGTGGAATGATGATATCATCATCAAGCTGAATACTGCCTAGTCATACTGTATCAACCCATCAAATAGATCTTGATTGGATTTCTGGTTTCCTAGCAACAAAACCAGTATTTAAAGTGCAAGTTTGATTCTAATAATATGATTGTAAGACATCAAATTAGTTAGCTCTTCATGTCATGAAATTTCCTAGCAAAGCTATACAAGTGCACTTTATAAAAGTAATAGTGCTTCCAGAAAAACAAATTTGGTTAAATATAAGTCATATACCCAGAGGAAAAACTGATGGCTCATTACTTTGACAATTACTTGTGCAGCTATACTCCTAACACTTGTATGCATAGAACAATAGGTTTCAATATAATGTTTTGGTAATATACCTTTAGGCAGATAAACTATATGTAATTCAGTGTTTTTAGCAGTACCAGCCCTGAATAAACATATATGTGTATAAATCTAAGGAGACAAACCCTCACAATTCATTTCTCCAAATTGACGAGTAAGCGAACACACATTCTAATTTTATTAATTATTTAAACAAAACATATAAGTGTATATAATAAAAACGAAGCTTAAGCCCAAGCAAAATCTGGGCTACAAGAAAGTTATCAAACAGAAATGATAATGGAAAAATAGCCGACTGGCTCATTTTGCACAAATATACATGTAGTCTAAATTTCAGATTTTTTTTAAGAAATGAACTTAACATTTGGTGCAAAGACTGATGTGTGTTATATCAGAATAAAGTAAAGCATTTATTGAACAGACCAGACAGATAATGGGTTTTAGACATAACTTAAGTCTTTCATGTTACCACTATGAACCAAAATCACTTCATCAAATAAAGACAATGATCCCTATTTCCTAAAGTATACCAGAGTGTTTCCACGGCAACAGAAATCCATTCTCAAAATTTAAAAACAGATAAAGAACTAGACAATGACAACAACAAAAGTAAGATGCCCACCTCTCAATTCCTGGGTTGTAAGTCCTTCTAATGCAGCAGGAAAGATAGAAAATAAAGTTTGGAATTTTTAACTTACTATGACTAAAACCACAGAGATCTATCAAAATGATACTAAATCAAGGCAGCATGCTTTATATGACACTTAATAGTATTAAATTTTTTATTATGCAATAAAATCAAATATACCTTTGTTATTGCATAAGTAATGATTTGTAACTGTTGTGTTTGATTTATATTCACATTAAATATACATTGTATATGTATATAGCCTTCTGATAAATAGTTAACAGTGTATTTTTGTATTAAAAATGAGAAATTTAAATTATTTCATAGCACATCACAAAGCCCACTTGCAAAAACGATTAAAAATTACCAAGAAAAATTGAAAAATCAATAATAATCAAAACCCAAAAAAGACAAAACAGCTGAAAACCAAAAACAGCTTAAGCAAAGATTAAAAGCATGCATTAATCATTACCATACCAACAAATTTTGACAACATTACATGGAATGTTGTATTAAGTACAAGACACATTGTACATACAACATTCAGAAATGACAATATCTAAGAATTGAAATAGAAAATAGAAGAGAACTTCATATAGATATACGATTTTGTCCGACATTATTAAAGTTTTTAGTTTTTAATACTATGGAAGAAATGTGAATATCTGTGTATTTTATACTGTATTCCTGATTTTATAACTTCATTTAGTTTTTTTATTAAATAATTAAGCTTTAAGAGCTTTTCAATATATCATTCTTTTAACAAAAATTGAATTTTATTCTTATATGATACATAAATGCTTTTCAATTCAACAACTTTCTGGTATAAAAAAAGCAGTCATTAAATAAATCATAAAAAAATCACAGATTTAATAAAGGCAAAAAAAAAAAGTTTCTCATTATACAAAATAATGAAAAATAATAAAAGAAGTCATACTGTCATACAAAAATTGTATAAAAAACAAACTTCATCATACAATTATCAGACCATTATCAATTGAAAGAAACAGATATATTTTTTTTTCTGTATTTTTGTTACCATGGTTACTAATTCCAGATGTCTCTTCACAAGAAGCTTCATTTGCAAATGTCACCTGCTTCTGTGTGTCTAACTTTGTCAAAGGACTGCACACTAATTCAGTCCCATCCATATTGTACACTTTATTACTTTTCCCAACAATTTCCTAAACTTATTCCTCTCTAAAAATCATTCTTCATGTTCAAATTACAATAGTCCAAACCTTTTAATTACTAATTCAAAATGAAAACATCCTTAAAGTCCTAATACGTCAGAAAAAATGATTACAATGAATCAAAATGAGTTTTTATTCCAATCAAAGTAAATGAAGGCACTATGAAAAAGAAGAAAAATCGCAATGAGTTCTGGTAAATGTATTTTCACAGCTATTCAATATCGGAATAATGAACATCGTAGTCACATGATGACTGGTGCTCTAACATAAAAACAGTAGAGAAACAGAGGTACAGAGTTGATAGATCAATACTAGATAGATATACCACTGTAACATCAAGCCTGTTATTTTAGTAATTGTTATAAAGATTTGCCGTTAATTGTCCATAGTATACTGGCAACAATGTTACATCTGCAGATGCTTGAAATTAGGGGCATTGATATGTAAATGTTTTAATGTGATATAATTGTTTATTGTGATCTTACTGATTAAGATTAAACTCACTGTAAAATCACGTATCATGAAGTAACTGTTTATATGTTTATTGTGAAATTTGTTTGTTTGTTTTATTGGGTTTTACGTCTCACCAACACAGTATAGGCCATATCGCGACGTTCCAGCTTTACTGGTGGAGGAAGACCTCAATTGCCCTTCCATGCATTATTTCAGGCAAAAACGAGTACCTGAGTAGAACCACCGACATTCCATAAGCTAGCTGGATAGCTTCCTCACATAAAAGAATTCAAAGTCCCTGTCGGGATTCTAACCCACAGCGGTGAGGGGCGAGTGGTTTGAAGTCAACGACCTTAACCACTCGGCTACAGACACCACTTTATTGTGAAATAATTGTTTACATGATTATTGTGAAGTAACTGTTTATTCATATGTTTATTGTGAAGTATCTGTTTATATGTTGTGAAGTATATTTTGGTTGGGTTTAACATTGCACTATCACAGTGTAAGTCATATGGCAACTTTCTAGCTTTACAGGTGGAGGATGACCTCAGGCGACCTTTCGTGCATTATTTCCAAATAAAAGGAATGACACATGCACAAAATCACCAAATAACAGAGACATTCTATGTAACAACTCTTTTGAGATCCACAAATGATTATCAGCAACAGATTACTGAAGTCATATGCAAGCTTCAAAAAATTGTTGTTGTTTTGTTTCAGTTAAACAAAGGCTTTGAGGCTGAAACTTTTCTGCTACAGATTTCAAGATTTGAAATATTTCTTTGAATTTAAATATGTTCTTACTAAAAATTGTTTTGTTGAGTTTTAAGTCAAGTTTCCAGCTTTTCTGGTGGACGAGGAACTTGGGTGTGATTAAGTGCATTATTTCAGACACAATGGTGCACCTGATCATGTTGCTTTTTTAAAAAAAAATAAAAAAAATATGGCTTAATTAATTTAAAAATGGCATTAAAAAATTAACAAAACTGAATATCGTTTATCTTGATAATACTAAATTTCAATTTTATAAATTACATTCACTAATCTTATTCTAAATATATTACAAAGCCTCAAATGTTTAACCTTGTAAGAGCAGAAATAAACCCACAAAACTGAAGAATAAACTGAACATAAGCCAAAAAAATACATGTTTACAACAAGATTAATATGTATACAGCACACATTGTCAACTAACATGCTAATTTAACAACATTTCAAGTACCTTTCATTATTCTGCTGGTTACAGTAGTTTTAGAACTTGTTGATTTTGATTTAACAATTTCAGTCTTTTCAATTGTTTTACTTGAACTTGAATGTGTTTTAAAAGATACAGTGTCTGTTTCTGAAAATTGACTAGAATCTGTCTCTCCCTCTAAAGAACTTGTAGTTAAAGTTTTATCCATTCCGAAAACAGTTTCTGTTGAGGTTGGGGTCTTTTTTATTTCAGTATCTGATTCTGCTTCTGAAGGTGTTTTAGCGTCAATTTCTAATGTCTTTTCCTGCATTTCTGCATTAATTTCCAGTTTCTTTTTCTGCATTTCTTCCTCCTCTAACTGTTGTTTTTTGGCTTTTTTCATTGCTTCCCATTCTGTCATAGTGTAAATTTTCTTTTTCTCTTCATATGGCTGTTTAGCAAGATACATGGAGTTACTTTCTGACTCCAAGTTTTGGAAGTTTTCATTCCATGATTGACCAGACATCATAAACTGGTAATTATCTGCAGCAACATTCCCTTCAAAGTCTAGATATGGATGTGTATATTCAGATTTTTCAGTTTTAGAGAATTTGCTTGTCTCTGCAGCTTCCTTTAAACTTGATTGATATTTGGATATGATATAAAAATTGTCAGTTTCTTCTTCATCTTCACCATATTCCTCCCATGATTCAATAGATGCCTGCATTACATCCTTAGCATGAGAGGGATCACTTTGTTCCTCATGGTCAGCTGATCTCATTGTATCTATTGATGATCTTGAAAACATAGAACTTGCTGAGCTCCATCCAGTGCCTGCTGATTCCATAGAAACTTCCATTACATTGTGTTTTGGCTCAATTTGGTAAGACTCTAGAGAGTCAACTGAAGTCTGCATTGTATCTGCCAAATCTTCCCTACCTTTATTTGAATCATTATCAAATGTTTCTTTTTGGCATTCATGAAATTCAAGGGAATCTCCAGATTTTTCCATTTGTCCTGAAGACCCAGATGATTTTCCACATGATGATCCAGTGCCACCAGATTCTGAAGACTTAACCATAGCACCAAGTGAATCCGTTGATTTCTCCATAATTCCAGTCAAATCAGTAGATCTTCCCATGGCTCCAAGAGAATCACAAGATTTTCCCATAATTGCAAGTGAATCACTTGATTTCTCCATCACTCCTTCGCGTTCCTCTGACAGAGAATCAGAATCAAATTTATCTTTTTCTCCTTTAGCAGCACCTATTTTATCACCAAGTGAGTCAGAGGATATTTTCATCACACCATCACTACTATGTGTACTGTCATGTAATGAATCACCTTCATAATCAGTACCAAGCCTAGTTGCTGACTCAGATTTCAAGATAGCTGACGTAATAGAAGCCGTCATGGAATGGTCACCATCAAGTGAATCAGTGTCATCAACATTGTCTCCTCTGGTTTTCTTCTTGGTTTCACTTAAACTGTCTTCTTCTATATCATCCTTTCCATCTATAGAATCTTTGTCAATGTCCTCGTCTTTAGACATATGGCTCTTTGTTATGAAAATTTCTCTTGTTGTAAGAGATTCTGAATGGGAGAGTTCTGGTTCACTACCATATTGATTAGATGGTAATGAGCCTGATTCAAGTATTGACACAATCTTTTGCGCTTCTCTTTCAAGTTGTTCAGCTATGACAAAGTCCTGTTCCAATCTTTCAAATTCATTTAATGATGCTTGAGAAGAAGTGACAGATGTGAAACTTTGACGGCTAAAACTTTCTATAGATCCTGAACATGTTTTAATATCTTCATACATAATTTCCTTTTCAATTCTTTCAAATTCAGTCAGAGATGTTATAGATCCAGACACGCTACTTTTTCCACTAATGTCTGCCTTTTCAGGTGGGGAAATTACTGCTGGTGATAGAATTTTCTCAATTGAGCTATCAGAGCTACCTTGTGTAACTTCGCGTTCCAATCTTTCAAAATCTGCTAATGATGAAGAAATTGAAATATCATCTTTTTCTAAACTTTTACTCAAGAATTTACTTTCATCTAAAGATCCTCCGAGACTGTCTTTACTGCCATCTTCAACTGACCCGGATGATCTTGAATGATTAATTTCCCTCTCCAGTCTTTCAAACTCTAAAAGTGAAGATGAAACAGAAATATCATCTCTTTCTCCACTTTTG